AAATTAATAGATCGAAGGAAGCAAACAAAATTTCAATGGTTGCAGGACCCAAACAAAACAAATGCGGATAATCTATGTAACGTGAGACGTGAGGCTAGTAGAACCTTTAGGAATAAGAAAAGGGAATACCTGAAGGGCAAAATTGCTGAACTTGAGACAAATAATAAGGGAAAAAATATCAGACACCTGTAGAGAGGCATTAATAACTTTAATTAGAGCAGGTGGCAAAGGGTTGCATATGAGGATCCATAAGCTTATTCAGTTAATTTGGGATAAGGAAGAGATGCCACAACAAAGGAAGGAATCCATAATTATTCCTATTCATAAGAAGGGGGACAAGACAGTGTGGTAATTACCGAGGAATTTCGCTGCTATCAACCTCATACAAAATTCTATCCAACATTCTTTTGGCAAGATTAACTCCATATGCAAATTAAATTATTGGGGATCATCAGTGTGGGTTCAGACGTAACAGATCAACAATTCATCACATCCTTTGCATCAGTCAGATACTAGAGAAAAAATGGGAGTTCAGTGGGACCGTACATAAATTATTTATAGACTTCAAAAAAACTTATGACTCTGTTAAGAAAGAAGTGTTATACAACATTCTCATTCAATTTGGTGTACCAAAGAAACTGGTGAGTCTAATAAAAATGTGCTTAAATGAAACCTGTAGCAAAATTTGTGTACTTAAATATTTATCTGAGACATTCTTCATCAGGAACGGTCTGAAACAAGGAGATGCTTTGTCTCCCTTGCTCTTTAACTTTGCGCTAGAATATGCCATCAGGAAAGTCCAAGATAGGCAGGAGGGTTTGCAATTGATTGGGATACATTAGCTATTGGCATATGCTGATGATGTTAATTTATTGGGGGACGATATGTATACAATAAAGAGGAACGCAGAAGTTTTACTGGAGGCTAGTAGACAAGTGGGGCTAGAAGTCAATTCAGAAAAAACTGAGTACATGTTAGTATCTCGTCATCAGCAGACAGGCGGGCAAAATTAACTTAGGGTAGCTAATAAGTCCTTTGCAAGGGTTACAAAGTTCAAATATCTGGGAACAACAATAACAAATCAAAATGATACTCGTGAGGAAGTTAGGAGGAGACTAAATTCCGGAAATGCTTGCTACTTCTCAGTTCAAAATATTTTGTCTTCCCGTCTGATTTCAAAGAACCTGAAAATTAAAGTGTACAAAACAATAATCTTGCCTGTTGTTTTGTATGGGTGCGAAATATGGTCTCTCACTCAGAGGGAGGAACACAGATTGCAGGTGTTTGAGAATAGGGTGTTGAAGATGATATTTGGGCCTAGAAGAGAAGACGATGGGGTCTGGAAAGCTTAAAAGTTTGCACTCTTCCCCCCAAATTGTCAGGGTGATTAGGTCAAGAAGAATGAGATGGGTAGATCATGTGGCGCGCATGGATGGGACGAAAGGTGTGCACCAGGCATTGGTCGGGAAGGCTGAGGGGAAGAGACCTAGACATAGATGGTAGAATAATCTCAGGTGGGACCTATCAGAGATAGGAGTTGAAGGAGACTGGATGTTGGTGGCCCAGGACAGGGTCCGGTGGTAGGCTTTGGTTAATTCCGTGATGAACCTACAGGTTCCATAAGCCTTCTAGTTAGTTGGTATATGTCTAATGTAAGTTATTTATTCATTATCATGCATGTTCACAAAAAAAAGTAAATATGTAATATCAAAAATTTTGCTGTATTTCTGGGTTTTCCAGTCACTTATATCAGCTTAAGCTGAATGTCGGTAATGACTTGGCCAGACTATAAAAACAGCATAAAGATGACCTCTGTTCTGAAACATATAACGATAACACCATAAGATCAGGATGAAACACATAAGAGCTGCTTACCCAAACTGTTAGATCCTGTGCTCTCTTTATCACTACCGGAATCTCGCTCCAAACTACTTACTCCATTAATAATATTCATCACATAGATTGCTGTCCAAGCAAAAGGCATACGGTACTTTCCAAGTCTCTCACATGCAGCCACTGCATTAGCACGGACTTTGTCTCGATTCTGTAAACAAACAAATAATTAGAAAGCCAACTTTGATTCAGAAACATATGAATAAAATTAACCATGTTACAGATGTAACTTCAAAATGTACTTTAACAACTCAGCATAAATTTGCATACATCACAAGTATTTACTTGTCCTATGTACGCTTTACTGTGCAACTTAAGTCTGATACAAGTTGCATCTCTCTTACCTTAGAACTAACTGCATGCAACAGTAGTTAGAACTGACATATGACACAAACAATGAAATAAACAAATGCCTTACTTACATGGATAATCTTATGAATATACTGGGGACTCTGCCCCTGCTTGCCTCACCCACAGGGGAATCTCCTATTATCCCTTCTTTATTTTCCGATGCTTCCCTCCAAAAATTTCCTCCCCTTCCCTAATAATCCCTTCATTTTAGGGACAAAATTGGGGGACATGAACAGAGAATAAATTTACAGAACAGTTAATACATCATGACTGATAACACATTATATCAGTGCTCATCAACAGAAGCTGCCCGAACTAAATTAGGCTAAACATCTTCAGAATCCATTGTTCAGTAAACTACTACTACTACTCTGTGGCACTACAGCCCTTCTGTAGGGGCTTGGCCTCCCTAACAAGTTTCATCCATTCTGACCTATCCTCTTCTAAGATAGTGTAATTTTATCATATTGTGAATATTATAACAATTATTTTAATCCGTCTGATCACAATATTTAAAATTTCTTATAATTAAGATAATAAAATATCATTCATGTTCCATATCGATTGATCGATTTACATTTCGGAACATTTACACAACATGTTTCGGTTTTTATAAAACCATCATCAGGTGTAAAATATATCTAAGAACTTAAAACTCAATTATGATTTCTGTAGTTTTTTGGTGATGTTTCATTACGTTTGTTTTTCCATTTTTGGGCGAAGGTGTTGTTTTTCTTAAATGTTATTAGATGTACATATCGGCCAAAGATGTAGGAGTGAGTTAGAAGTACATATCGGCCAAAGATGTGGGAGTGAGTGTCCCGATATGTCCAGAAGTACTAGTGTCTTCGAATAGGTGTGACCCAGGGTGTGAGACAGGGTGGCCCAGCTATACCCTCAGGCAATGGGTAGCTGGGGTACCTCAGGATCGCCACTTCCCGTACCCAATATCGTGAGCCCCTGAGGGTCCTCATTCAGTAAACTTCCAGTATTTTTTTTATATTTACATGTACAGTTAACGTCAATACAGAAAGCATACAGATCTCTTGATACATGGAAAAAACAAACCAGTTTTACTACCATAATGAGATCAGTCCATACCACAGTTTATCTGTAGTCTGCGTTGACAGAATACCTGGTTGAAACATCACGAACCAAAGAACAAATTTTAAAAAAATCCTACAAATTTAAATGTTTGCGTTTCATGTGTAATGACTAAAGAAGGCTTGCTTAGCTATTCTAAAAGAAAATAAATCTACCCAAACTAAATTATACATTATTTAAATTTGAAAATTTAAGTCGCATAATGCTTAATTAAATGTTGTGCATCAATGTCCTCAGCTCAGTAAAACATGGGTGAAGGCACAGTCTAATTCATTAACGCACTCACGCCTCTCCTTACCGCTTTTTCAATGTCTGCATTTGTACTAGCCCTTTCAAACCTAATGACAACTGTGTGTACCACATGCTTTAACAAACAGCTATTCTGCATTTTTGTGTCATGATTCTCAAAGTAAACAGTAATTATTTCCTTAAACAGCAATAACCAACTGAGATTTGTAATTAAAACACATTGCTTTCTCTGAGGGACATACTGAATTCTTAAATACGAGGCTTGTCCACAAAGTAAGTTTCCCTGGGGCCGTTTACAGAAACAAAACACAATTTCATGGAAATATTTATTGCAACAGATACAGCAAGTGTCCAGCTATTTTTCAACATATTCGCCACCGGAATTGAGACATTTGTCATACCGTGGGACCAACTTTTGAATACCTGTGTCGTAGAAGTCTGCCGCCTGGGATTGGAACCACTGTGTGACAACCATCTCCGCCTCTCTGTCATTCTCAAAACGCTGACCGGACAGGAATTTCTTGAGGTGTAGGAAAAGATGGAAATCACTGGGAGCGAGATCCGGGCTGTAGGGTGAATGATTAAACACCTCCCAGCTGAACTCCTGCAGGAGACTTGCTGTCCGTCGAACCGTGTGCGGCCTAGCGTTATCACTGACCGCACTTCACAGGCGGCGGGAGCTGGAATAAGAACCTCCAACTTCAACCCTCCCAGCTGAACTTCTGCAGGAGACTTGCTGTCCGTCGAGCCGTGTGCGGCCTAGCGTTATCACTGACCGCACTTCACAGTCGGCGGGAGCTGGAATAAGAACCTCCATCTTCAACAGCTGCAACGATGCTACTGTGAGAACGCGGGAAGTGCCGTTAGTGCATGCGCCATGCTACGTCATTGCTCTATCACGTACGCACAGTCGCTTCGCGCAATATAAGGTTTGCTAGCTGTGGGACGAGTGGGAAACTTACTTTGTGGACGCGTCTCGTACTATTTACATGAGCTTCCTTTACCTTGTCATCTTTCACGTATGGCTCAGCACATTCACTTATATCTCCCTGCAAAACTTTCTCTAACTTGATGACCAGAAACATATCAGATGATGGGTATGTGACATCAAAAATACAAGACCGACTCAGTGTGCTGATGTCACTGTAAGGAATGTGAGACGTCAGCATACGTTTTAATCCTTCCGGATTCATGTCAAAGTAGAAGTTTTCCGACAGCTTTTTCTTCTCTTTCGCATCATATAGGGCCATAGATGCAAAAATTGGCTCCACTTCCAGATCCAACCTGCATCAAAGAGAAATTACAATTTGTTCGAGCTAAAAACCGTAATCCTCACGGTATGCTGAATCGGGACAATACGTTTCGAGAACATTAAAAGTTCTCTCAAACCAACACAGTATGTGGTAGTAATAACAGCGATACAGTACGACACAGCGTTAGTAGGATTTGAGGTTTTCACGGCAGTGAGTCTGAAGACGGCTGTCTCTTCTGGGTTGTTGCGTCGCGTAGTCTGGTAGAAGTTTACCGACGTTTCAGAGGCCCTTGCTACCTCCATCATCATCACCCTGATGATACTGTACAGTAGCATGCTACTACTGCTCTCATACACCACGTTGGTTTGAGGGAACTTTAAAAGTATCCATCACTAAGCAATCCAAGTGTCAGCTGCACTTAATGTTAACTGTACCAGCATCACAAACCCTAACCCACCTATAGATACTCACTTGAGCTGAATGCATTTAACAAGAATGCGATGTACAACATGTTCACTGGGCACATCAGCTGGTATTCGTTTCTCAATAATTTCATCCTCGTCCTGTGGCAGATACAAGGAGAACAACGCACTCTGTAAAGGAACATAATGAGGGAGAGAAATGACTACAGAACTTGGTTGTGCGAGGAATGAAGGCATACAACAGCACTGTCTATGTACTGAGCCTAAAAATCAGAACTAAATAAGTAAAATGAAACTAGTACAATAAACAGGATCTTAATTCTTCTACCTGATACTGAGGAAGGAGTAACACATATACGAGGTGCGATCGGAAAGTTTCTAGACTGTGTCAATAGAGGGCGAACCGGATGTAGTACGAGCTTTTGCCGCTAGGGGGTGCGGCCTACATTCATAGTGAATCAGTGTGCCAGCCGGCATCATCGAATTAGCATTTGTTTCTTAGTTACGGGCGTTTTGGTAGTGCATTACACCGACCCTCCTGCGATTTCGGAATGGCGCGTGTGCATCAAATTTTGCCAAAGACTCGCCAAAACGGCTAAGGAAACCTATGAAATGCTAAAGCAAACATTTGGGGAGTCCGCAAACTTTTGTGTGGCATTCACGTTTTAAAAAGGGCCGGCCGAACCTCTGTCGATGATGACGAGCGTTCTGGACGACCATCTTCGAGCACAACGCCCGAAAAAGTTACGAAGATCGACGTCGTACCATCAACGACTTGTGCGACATTGTTGGGACCTGTCAGCTGATTCTAAAGGAAGAACTCCACATGCGACGCATCGCAGCCAAGTTTGTGCCAAGGCTCCTGTCTGAGCACCAGAAGCAGAATATAGAAGAGATTTAGGCAGAATCGCAGATGGTGCTTGACAGGCTGACAAAGAAAGATTTCCAGGGATGCTTCCAGGCTTGGCAGCGGCGCTGGGATCGTTGTGTTCACTCCCAGGGGAACTACTTCGAGGGTGATGGATGAATTTAATACCTGAGATAAGTGTACGGGTTTTTATACGCGCAGTCTTGAAACTTTCAGATCGCACCTTGTATGAATAAACTAAATTATTTATTTTTATTTTATCTGTTATTTTAAATTAAAGTTCAACTTTAATTTAAAATAACAGAGCCAGTTCCAGAAAAATATTGTGAGGGTGATTAAGTCGAGAAGAGTGAGATGGGCGGGACATGTAGCGCGCATGGATGGGACAAGAGGTGTGCACCGGGTACTGGTTGGGAAACCTGAAGGGAAGAGACCGCTGGGGAGACCTAGACGTAGATGGGAGGATAATCTCAGGCGGGATCTATGGGAGATAGGAGTTGAAGGAGACTGGATTTTGTTGGCCCAGGACAGGGTCCGGTGGAGGGCTTTGGTTAATTCGGTGATGAACCTTCGGGTTCGGTAAGCCATCTAGTTAGTTAGTTCCAGAAAAATCACAGAATGACTGCATAACATCCAATACTAGACACAGGCTTGTGTGAGAATAATTACATAATCTAAACTGCCTACAACTAAGCATACCTGTCTCTCCTGTTGACGTCTGACTTCATTCAACTGGTCAATTGTTTCAGGTGGAATTCTTTCCAATAACGAGGGGATCAACGGATCACACACTGAATTACGAAGATCAAAACTGGCCCAACTGCCACGTGGAGTGTCAGCTGAATGAACGGACTGCCTTACTGAGGATACACCACAATCTGGCTGCAAGATGCAAACAAACGTAATCAAATGCTCCTTGTAAATACAAAAAGAGAAAATGCAGCAGTAACAAAATTCATTTAAAAAACATGTTAATTCAAACCTATTACGCCTCACATTTGGATTATTCTTCTTGCAACATTCAATTTTCAAACTTCAGTTCACTTATCCAACATAAACTTTCTGTGCCTTAATTCTGTATGAAGGAGCCGGGATAGCTCAGTCGGTATAGTGACTGGCTACGGACTGGGCAACCGGGGTTCGATCCCCGATGGGGGCAGAGGATTTTTCCTCTTGCCTCTGCGTCCAGACCGGCTCTGGGGCCCACCCAGCCTCCCATCGAATGGGTACCGGGGTCTTTTCCCGGGGGTAAAACATGGCCGGGGCGATGCTGACCACTTGCCCCCATCTAGTACCAAAGTCAAGAATGAGTAGGAGCTATACCTCCACTCCTCCCAAGTGCCTACATGGCGTATAGTGGGACAGCTTTACTTTTACTTAATCCTGTATGAAGTTTAATGTTCAAATACTGTCCCCAAGAGGTATACTAAATATTAATTTCATTTCACAGACAAATAAAATATTCATAAGTGAATTTAAAAAAAGAGGTGTAATTAAGAGACAGCAGCAAAGGCACAGATACAACTAATTCTGTGCAGCAGAGTTCACCATGAGACGCCAACAGTAAACTCAGGAAGTCAAAAATTCCCTGCGCTCTATTAAACCGAAAGATTAAACTGCGTACATTTTGCACCGTCAGATGGTGCGACGAGTGAGTGAATGTAAAATGTATGTAAGGATACAATGTTACTAACCGAGTATTCACGTGGGACTGAGGAAAATCAGGGGGGAAAAAAGTCAATCAACATTTGAACCCATGGCCCAGTACAAAAAAGTAGCAGCAAAGAAGTGTTGGTATTTTCAAAGCAAGGAAGTGAAATCAAACGGTCACAAGCAAAAACAGTTGCAGATTTTAACGTCTGTCTCAAAAATTTTAGTATGAGATTGATTTAGCAATATTTATCAAATTATATCAAAGCAGTCAAATGTAATGATCACCTTGTAGCCTTCATCTTCATTGCAATCATCATAGACAAGATGGTCATGGTCCACTTCAAACACCTGACGCGGTATAGCCTGAACAAGACTGTGCCTTTCACATCCCCTGTCGCGAGTCCAACTACTGCTGGATAAATGACGGTACTGGTAATTGACAACCACCCAGTCAGCAGTATACAACTGAACACAGTCACGAACATGTGCAGATGACTCATCCCTAAAATAGCACACAATTCACAACTGATAACCTGAAAGAATGACTGTTAACACTTATCAGAGAAACACGTGTTAGCTTGTTTTGTAATGGTTCCATGTTTCACGTGCAACAACACAGAGAGGACATTTGAAGGGTACGTTGCAGGAAATCCCTCCCACAACTGATCACTGTGTCAACTGCCACAATCTGCCGTGCAGCGTTGAAGAAAAAAGAAAGTAACATCACACTCCTTTGCAATATTCACTCATGACTCAAGTGTTCCAAAAGGCTTCCTTTGTGTTCAACACAGATATGTTTATGCTACGGCAATGAACGTTTTTGTGCAAATCTTACGTGGAATGTAAATCCAATACGAGCGAGAGAAAATCTAAGAAAAAGTTTCATGGGGTTTGAATCCCCACAGAAACAATATTCATCATCTTATCAATCAAATACAAGCAAATGTCATGTTAATAGGCTGGAAATTAAAATCTCAATGTCAAGTCTCGTGAGAAGAAATCCTGAACTACAAGTGACTTGCAAAATTGTGTAAAATACACACGCATTTCAAAACAAAAATGCATTAAGTAATAAACAACAAAGTTACAAATAAAATTATTTCCCCATGACACACAAACTCCAACCACTTACATCACACTTACTTTATCCCGTACACTAAAAACAATGCATGCACCTGTTCCTCACAGTTCTCAAGGTTCAAAATGTCTTATAAACAGCCACAATTTGTACAATGTGATCACAAAGCCACATAAATGGTGGGCAGTCATTATTCAGAAATAAGATAAAAATGTTCATAACATGATTTCATTAACTAATGGTTTTTGTTTGAAATACTTTTCATTATAGCCAATATTCATCAAACTATACCTACAAACGTATTTTGGACTTAAGTCAGTAAACCTGAGTGCACTTATAAGATCGATGATAAAACTATCTACAGTAATTACTGAGCAATATCATGGTTATCAGGTGACATGTCAGGTTCTCATGGCAGTGAATATGAAGATGACTGTCTTTTGAAATATTCTCCCATACAGTCTGGTAGAAAAATACAAATGTTTCACAGGTGCTAACCATTATCAGGGTAATGATCACTAATAAAATACACGGCGCAACATCCCACAAGATAATCATCATCTTCTTAGTTATTTCAACATTGCATAAAATATATGTGTATATATGGTATGACTAGTAAATGTATAAATATTCCATAACACTTCATGAACAACAGAACAAAGTGTGGCACTGAAAATGTAGCCAACCGTTTACTTACAACGCTTCTTCTGGAACTATCGGTGATTGCGTTCTTATCCGCCGAGGAATTATTATCACTTTAATATCATTAACTGGAAAATCCAACACGTGGTGCAGTGGATCCCGATCCAACAACAGCTGATGTTGCTGAATAAAATCCTCATAATCCAAAGGGTCAACAGTGTCACAAAGCGATATCTATAGGACATGTTAAAAAGATGCTGTGACAACAGATCATTCATTCAGAGTTTTTTCTGTTTCTCAAACAATTACACATATAAGTGACAGTTTTTATTTCAAGTACCCACCAAAGAGGGAAAACCAGATATACTACTGCCACTTTTTGCCAAGTCCCTCGGGTATGATGACACAGCTATTTGCTTACGAACCTCCGCTGCATGTTGCCTGTAATCAGATTGTTAACATTTCTAGAAAACCCAGATTAAATTGAAGACAAAAAAACATTCCACATGGTGTAAATATAAACCAAAGTCTGTAACCAATTCAGTCACGTTATATTCATGCCACGATTTAAAACACAATAACACCTGGCACGTACAATTATCTAACTATATGCAACAGAGTCTTTATTGACAGCCTGATATCATGCTCAGCTGGTCAGAAAATTCCCTTTCCTTTATGTACCCAATGGATCATTACTGTGTTCACAAGAGCCAAACACCAGTCCTTATCCTGAGCCAGATTAATACAATCTGCTCTCTCCAACTCTAACCCCCCCAAAAAAAAAATTTTCCCTCTTCATGCTTTACAATTGATATTACGGTTCTCTTCCGCTGTTCAAGCGACATGACCTGCCCATCTGAACAGTTCACCCTGGGCCTCGGAAACGTATACAGCTATAGCATGAAAGCGACACCAGAACATTGAACAAGCCATTGAAGTATAGAGGATATAAAAATTATCGTTCTCGGCGGTATGAAACAAAAGAAGTGACAATTTCCCAGTGCATAGGGTGTTCTGATTAAACCACAATGTATATGTAAAAAAAAAGCTTTGCACATGAAACCCATATGCCGGCACATAAACTCCTCCCCGTACTAATATCAAATTTTCTACTAACTTTGATAATTTTTGAGCGAAAGCTCTTTGCACCGAAGCCATTCTTACGGTACAATACAAAATCTTCACATAAACATTACATATTGTATAGAACTTGTGACTGTTAATATTCCTTCCTTCCTAACTGTTTACTTCCGCCATATCACCATAAACCATCGACCGCAGGAGTACACACAGCGATTCGTAAGCTACATTCCATTGGCTATAAACACACGACGTCTGATACAGAGTGCAGCCCAATAAGCAGCTAGCCACCGCATGAAGCTGCATGTAGTGGTTCTTGTGGCTTGAAGGTTATGGTTGTGAACAGAATTCGAAAAGCATGCAATACTCGTGCAAGGCAGGGAAAATGCACAACGTTAGAAAAAGCAAAATATGTGGGTGCGATAGAATATAACATTCCTCACCTGTCACATGCATCTGGAGTGTGCTGTCAATTTCATAACAAAGAGCTCGCAAGAGCACGATATATTTTGTTTCTTGTTTTCGCTTTGACATTTGGAAGTTGGAACAACCCGTAGCGATGTTGTGGGTATCATCGTTTCATATAGGTGTATCGCCTGTATCATGTGATATTTTCTGATCTGAATACAAGGAGCGGGTGTTTAAAATAAATAAAAAGATTAGAGGCTTTATAGGGCTAGACAAGGCTGCCCTCTGCCAACATTATTTAACATATTTATTATCGAAATTATTTCTGAGTTTAATGAGGATGAAATAATTAATTAAAACACTCCACAAATATAGATGTCAAAATTCTTCTTTTCTCCTATAACCGGAAACTTATAGCTGATTCAAAAAATTCATTACAGAAATCAGTACATAAGTTTGTAGTGTTAGCTTCAAAAATAACTTAAAGTTGTCTACACACATCTCTAAAACCATGGCATTTAAGGGAAAAAATCCCATCAGATCCAAGATAACAATAAATAATACAATCATACAACAAATTAATACATTTAATTATCTTGGATGTACATCATCATATGAAACAGAAAAAGATCTCACAGTAAAATTATCAAAATACAAGTTACAGACATCATTTATGAAATCTTTAAAACCTCTAAAACCCAACAGAAACTAGATTGAAAATATATAAAACTTTGGCCATACCTACACTTCTTTATGGATGTGAAACATGGACAATAAAACAAAGTGTCAAATCAAGATCAGAGATGAAGTTTTTAATAAACACAGCCAAATACACATGGAGAGATCATAAACGGAATGACATCATCTACAAAGAACTGCAAACAGAACCAATATTAGAAATATTCACAGATACAGAAGAAATTGGATCCAACATGTACAAAGAACAGACAGGGAAAGATTGCCACATCTAATTTTTAAACACTGAATAGGAAGAAGAAACAAAGGGACAACTGAGGACGGAAAAGGTCACAAGGCCCAAAAATTCTTTATAGTTAATGATCTTATTACTCTGCTCAGGAAATGGCAGACATGCATGTCCTGTATGGACGTGCCAATGGAAATTCTCGGGAAGCATGTCGCCTCTATACAGAATCCCATCCCACAAATTATACGCCAGACTTCGTGGGCATCGGATCGCATAAGGGCTTGATCAGTTCGAACTCACAGAATGGAAGTTCACGTATTGAGAAGAGTGGATGAAGATCCCATAACCAGTGTTCGAAGAATTGCAACTGCTGAGGGTATCGGTGTTCCCCTTTTCTGGAGAATTCTCCACGAACAATCATTTTACCGGTACCATATCCAGCGAGTGCAATCCCTTACTCCTGACCATCATGCTAAGGTGGATGTCTTAGCTAACAGACTGTCAGGTGCAGTGTACCATTGTTTTTTGGTGAATTATTTACCAGTACTCTTGGAACAAGTGCCTACTCCTTCATCAACCACACATTTGGTTCATGCATGATGGGGTACCACCTCATTTCCTCAGCACCAGAACAATAATCCAGTGAGGATGTGGAGGCCCAGTGAAATGGCCCGCACGATCCCTGACCTTAATCCTCTGGATTTTTGGCTTTGGTATATTTGCTGATCAATGACTTAGAGGTATAACAGTAGCAAGTAGAGAATGCCAGCCAGGCGATCCGAGTGCACATTTCTGTGCAACGAAGAGCTGAAAGTCAAATGCATCTGCTGTAGAAATCACACGAAAATCGCCTGCATCTCAATTGGCGTTGGTTTTCGGATATACGATAAATGTTGTATTTTGCTCGTTGAAGTGGGTAGTAGACCCCTCTAAAGCTTTTAATCCTCTTATAACGCTCTGTATATACTTAAAAACTTGCTAAATTAACTGTAGTGCTCAAATTCTGCAGAGTTCAGAGCAAGTCAGGAAGATACGAGGTTTATATCCACAATTAGAAGTATATATTTACACAGCAGCATGATGTATCTAATGAAGTTAATGCCATGCTATTACATTTTTGATTAAAACTGAATTTTAATGTTGCATAATACCAATGGTTCCATCTACATTTATAACATTTATGGAATTGTCATTAACAAGATGAGAAGATTCATATAGGCCTATGTGCCTGATAGAAGTAGTAATGTATCATACATAACTTGTTAATTTCATAAATATAAGTGCATGTCTTCACTGGTTTGAAATTATTCAGTAATTCACTTAACTATTTTGTGACGTGACTGTAAATTCTGCACGTGTGACTTGTGAAGGCATAAAATGTCATTAAATAATTTGTTCTGCAGGTAAGCTTCATACTTTAAGAAGAGTTATGATGTAAATATGTGCCTTAGTTTCAATATTTCATTACAATATTTTAATTTCAAATTTGTCTGACGATAGTGTGGTCAAAGATATTACTGTGGTACAAAACTGATATATGTAGGTGCAATGATGTGCCGAGTTGCATGCAATTCCATCCTGTTCTTGTCGCTAACATTTTTACTAAATAATAACCATGGAAATACAAAAAGTTCAACTGTAGAGGTACAGGAGGTGGCAATTTCTCAGAGAAGACTGCACTATTATATGCAATGTCTGCTGGCTGTACTGTTCATAGATAAAGTACGTGCCCTGCATAACGGCTCATCAGTATGTCCTTTGCTCTCTGTAAACTGCCATAACTGAACTTTCTGCAGCATTTTTATTGTTCTCATTATTGTATCCACCAGGCATATTACTGGTATTACAAAACAAAATCTTTTAATTTTTAAGAGTTCATTCTATATGTCTTTCTCTATGGGTGTATATTTATATACTTTTGGTACATGATATACAAATGTTTTATTCTGCTGTAAAAATAAACAACAAAAATTTTAACCACAAGTAAATGAACCAGCAGAACAAATGTCATCTCGTATGTTGAATCAGAGAGTAAAATTATTTCGCTAAAGGTCTGACACAGTAAACCCACATTCACAGCAAAAGTGCTACTTTTCGCCCCACGAATTTTATTCATAATATGATTTCATATTATTACACCATTAAAATAAGACATACAATGAATACATGTGTGGCAAACTCTCACTATGACATGGCACCTTACAGAAGAAAAAGCATATAGTTCATAATAAGTTTCACTATTTTATTTCTGTTAACTGAATTAGTGAAATGGGAAATCCAAAATTTCCAAAGTCATATAGCCTCTTCTGGTTACTGCAGCGGCCTTCTTAAACTCCTCTTGCCGAAGTAAGATCCCACATAAAGTGACAAAAGGGGGAGAAAATCTCGCATTTATTTAATTTACGTCAGTGTCTCTCATTAAACATTTGATGCTTTCTGACAATGTCCCTACGTGTCAGTCCTCTGACAAGTTACCACTGTTTTCTTCCTCACTTTGCTGTTAAAAATTTATCATAAAACATTTGTCTGCTTCCGTTAATTTAAAAAATTGCGTTTTGCTTGACAGAATGTTTCTTCCTCTTGATTCTCCTCTCAGCATTCTTGAATTCACTAATAACAAAGCATGTGATTCCTCACCTAGACTCACAATTCCACACTGACGAGGGAATAGATCTTTTGTTTCTACGAAATAAAAAGTATTTATTTTGAATCATCAAGCAGTTTCAACTGATAAATATTTTTCATAGTAACAAATATATTTGGAATATTAAAAATAATATAATAACAAGAAATGTCTGCAATTCTAGTTAACAGGACAACAGATGGATGTTACCTTGAGGTTGAAGGCCCCTCAATATCACCATTAGAAGAACCGTTTGAACTTACAGAATCACTGTTCTCATTATTGTCACGATTCTTCTTCAATCTATCAATGTACTCCTGCTGTGATCTGGCTATCACCTGTGCCAAGATGCCATCCTCCCATTCTTTTAGACCTGAGGATAAAATAACGGATAAAGTATGAAAACAAATTGCTAAGATCGAAGAACTTTCCACTCAAAACCACAAGTCGGCTAAAATTACCATCATCAAATGAGAACAAACGCATGTGATGTAGGTATGCTTTTTTTTCCTAAAATATTTTACAATAAGTTTCTGTAAAGAATTATATACTCCCTGAAATTAATCTGACTATTTTTACAGTTACATGGGCGTAGAAGAATCTTTTGGGTACTGTTTAATAAGCGTTATCTCAACTTACAATAACTGTTGGAAGAAATGTTTGCAAAGAAAATCACACAGCAAATGTGGCCCTAAAGATTCCTGTATCTCTGCCAGACATAATTTTGAAATAGCACTCTCATTACAACTGAAAAATGGGCTTATCATTACAGTCAACACTCAATACATCAGATATTTAATGTGTGATTTGTTTAAGTTACCAGTTTACTGTAGTGTACTACTTCATTATCTTTAATTATATGCATTGTTTGTCAAGTCAGACAGCATTCAAGTAAGTTTCTTGACTGTCCATACAAATATAACATATAGAAGGTAAAACTTGCAAAAATGTATACAAAAAATTGGTTGCAAGAAAAATTCTGCTATATTAATTAAATACACAGGTTTCTTTTCAAAATGTGCGCACTCACCAAATAATTCTGGGGAGAAATGATTGAGAAAAGAAGCTGTTTCAAGGATGTCAAATCCCTGCCTTGAGTTCGGCATCTCGTCCCAGCTGCATCCAGCTGATGAAGAACACGCAGTTGCATCATCTGAAAAGCGCTTAGTGTCCACAACTTTGGGGGAGTTGCGATGAGACTCCGGATGCGAGGGAGAATTTACTCCTCCGACCCTCGTACGAGGTGATGAGCGATTGCTGTCCGAGGTGACCGTCGCTGTACTGGAAGTTGCTGTGGTTGACCGTTGCTGCCAAAACATACAATACTTTATCACGGCATTACCGTATTAAGAACTTAACTAACATTCAACAGACATCAAACAACTTAACTGCTCATCATGAAACTTTATTGCAGTTATGATTAGCAGCAGTACATAATCACTACAACTCTTCCAGGTAAAAATAATCAAAAACAAAAATTATTTTCAACACAGACCTAAATAAATAAATAAATAAAGCATTTTAACTGACACACTGCTGTACAATGTGAAATCTGAAGTTACTTTTCTGGTCAATGACCAGGTTTCTTGTTTGTGGTACAATAATAAATTAAATCATACTCAGGTAGATTTTGATATCACCAGTAAATAAATTCTTCAGTTTGCAGCCCCATCACTCCGAATCTTTCAAGACGCAATAAGAGACAGGTCGCATTTGAAAAATGAAACCAGAAATGCTGGACATACCATATTCTTGTTTCTCTGCTCATTGTCCCTCAGCCACTGCAGGTAACTCTCCCTGGCAACCTGCTCCTCAATTGCTTCGTTTGTAGCCTCCCAGTCTGTTGCACGCAACTTGTCTTCCAACATCGCCTGTGAATCACATGGCACGTCATCTAATTAAATTGCCTTTCCACTCCAGAATTATTCAGTCTACTCCTACATTCAAGACTTTGGGATGTTGGCATGTTCAGACTTAAAATTAATGAGGAATCTTTAGCACATGCTGGAGTATTCTTGGGATTGGTGATGATATGGGACATGGAATAATCTACACACAACTGACAAGCGTCTGAGTTTAGCAGAATTGTGAACTTCCAATTTGTCACAAGGTACGTTCCACAAATTTTAATTTCCCTCTTGTAACTGATAAATGTACACGAAGCGCTGATTACTGAATATGGCAACATGATAAAAGCTTTGTAGGCTGCAAATTTTCTCAGACGTACACCACATATTTCAACTTACATTACGTACCAAGAAATATAAAAGTACAGTGATGCTATGATTTGATGATCCCCAGAATCTGATCACTGTCTTACAGTCACATATCTGCCAGGAGAGTTGCTAGTCGTACTTTTTATTTGAGAGCATCGACATTCCTTTCACTGCTAGATACATTGGTACATGCTCTGAATGCTAGAAGCTTACAACCTACATTTGGAGTTCAAATGAAGAGCTGCAAATTGTGCTACATTTTTCTGACTGGGCACAGTTTTCTATTTCACACACAGACAGGGCCAGGGATCTTTAAATCATGATGTGAGGAGAGATGTTTAAACATGAAAACCAACTCATGTGCAATTAAATGTTCAGTGTGGTATTACATGAAGTACGGTTTTATAAAGTGCGACCTTTTACGATGCTTCATGAATTGTATGATTTTAATAGACAGACTAATGAATTAATGTTTTTGCCACTGATGATGACCTCTTGAGGTCGAAACGCGTTTGGCACAAAGTGTTATTTAATGTGTAAACAGTTTTGTTTGTATACATGATTTTGTATATGAAAACTGAGCTATATGCAGTTACATAGTAACGGCCACTTGTAAAACAAAAAGTTGTAAGAAGAAAGTGTACCTGCTCCACTTGAAAATGTTCGCTCTGATTCACTGCCTCCTTCATGAGGTTCTTTTCAGCAAGTCCTGGGGTATAGCTAGGCAGACCCAGGCCAACTCCAACAGTAGCTTTGTAGGGATCAACGATGCTGTTATAGTGACTCCCACGTTGATATGACAACCTGATTGGTTCATTATCATTTTTGTGCTTGCCCAGAAAAATGTTTATAGGGTCTGAAATGATAAAATATGAAGTTAGAATATTTTAATTTCACATACCGGACTTATTTTTGGAAGAATAAGCCATTTTAAATTTATTTTTATTTGCCAATCTACATGAACTTTCGACAGCCTCTGAAGAGTACTTTTAATAACGTAATAAAAGAACAAGAATAAAGGAGGGGGGGGGCACAAACTTGTAAAAACACAATGGTGTATAAATAATCTAAACTTTGACACGTTACATATGGTAAAGAATTCCCTCCCCATCTAAATTTACAGACACGCTAAGGTTTGTTATAAATGTTAACGTAGAAGCGAAAATTACTAATAATGTTTGCGAAGTTCACTGTAAACAATAGAGTGACAATAAGGTATTATATCACATCAAAAAATGTTACTGTGACTTACTTCAAGTATACAGCACAAAATGTAAGATACTTCAGAACACAATGTAAAGAAATTTCATATTATTTAAAATAAGTATTGATCCCATCCATTATTTGAGGTGAATATATAAAAACCAACTCCTTTCGTACGTAAGTGTTCTGAGTTACATATATAGAAAAAATAAAAAAAAACTGCACACAAGATGGCTGTCTTCTGGGTTGTTGTGCTGCGTAGTCTGGTAGAAGTTTACCGAAGTCTCATTGCCCTAATGATGGAGGCAGCAAGGACCTCTAAAATGTCGGTAAACTTCTACCAGACTACGCGGCACAACAACCCAGAAGACAGCCATCTTCAGACTCACCACTGAGAAAACCTCAAATCCTACTTAAAATACTGCACAAATGTGTGAGAGATTTTTGATTACCACCATCATCACTTTTAAAAGTGCGGTAAAGCATTTTGTTCATAACTCACCTGTTCCATAGCAGAACACCTCAACTGTACGATTGTACATTTCACTCATAGCTTGCATTTCAATGTGATTGCCATGAACATATTCGTGCCTTTTCCTATCGACGTAGGTGTCAAAGTCCTCCGTGACATACTGAGAGAAGTAGTCTCCGTTAGCTGCCTAAATGAATACAGAAACAAATTTTAAATTCAATGTACTTTGCACAAAAACTGCTCTAGTGGTTTGCACTTCAGTGTGATTGCATTTTCTATCATTACAGGCAATAAATCTTAAGACATATTGATGAATGAAGTGCTCACCTCCCACGCTACATTGCACAATAACAAGTATTACCATTTGTTACTTTTCACAAAGCACCAAGAAGCAGAGCCGAGTCAGCAATAAACCCCACAATTCTTGAGACCTAAGTTTCACATAATAACTAGTAATTGCACAAATGTTACTGATAGAATTTTCGTTAACAGAACACTTGCAGAAGAATATGCAAGAGGAATTAAAAAAGCTGGTCATACTGTAGATCAAGGTCAGACCGTGTCATGCTAACTGTGGTTCAGTCATATTCTGTTCGTGCTGAGTGACTGGTGTATGGATTGTTGCCATGATAACCGTTTGACCAAGGAGAAGCAACATTAATGCAGTCTTACAGTACTTTCCACAACAGTTGCCCAGAAACATGCTTGAGCACATTCCGTGTTTTGTTTGTTTGTGGATGTGTGTCTGAACCAGTCTGCGTCAACAACACTAGTTCAACCCACTCATACACACTTCACCGGGGGAAACGGTTGTGTCCATACTTGCCAGCTAATTGTTGATGGATATCCGCCCCATTCGTTACTTCAGACTCCAGAAACAAAACACTACTGCACGTAGCTCACTCTTACTGCAAACTTCCAATTGAGAAACCAGTCATCTTTACACCATGCTCACCCAGCACAAACAAAACAAAACATGCCAACAGCCTTTGACCATCTGACCTTTTACTACATCATCACCAGACCTCAGCAGTATTGCCAATCATACAAATAAAATATTCCAATATTGTCTTTACTTTTTTATTTTAATCGCCTTCATATAAAAAAAAAACAAGACCTCAAACTTTGTTTTAGCTCAGTTTAGTGCCTAGCTACGGGCCGGACAATCGCGGTTCGATCCCCGACAGGGGCAGAGGATTTTCCTCTAGCCTCTGCGTCGAGACCGGCTTTGGGACCCACCCAGCCTCCTATCCAATTGGTACCCAAGTCTTTTCCCGAGGGTAAAGCACGGCTGTGGGATGATGCTGACCACTCACCCCCATCTAGTGCCAAGGTCAAGAATGAGTAGGAGCTATACCGCCTCTCCCCCCCCTTCCCCAAATGGCGTGTAGCAAAAGAGCTTTACTTTTTTACATATGAAACCAAGACTTCAAACTGTTCAACTTAAAATTCTGAATATTTCATACATCATAATGAAATCACTACTCACAATATAATCCATACAATGACTTCTCACAGTGGCATGCATCTCCTGGTCACCGTACACCTGGTCGGCTACAGCACGGAACAGACAGGCTCCATCTTGCTCCATCTGCTTTATGATGAAACCTTTCCTTCGTATGCTTTTCTCAAACCATCTGTCTCTCTGCATATGAATGAAAGCAGAACATAACATTATATCGTAACAGTACCGAGTAATGTAACTTGACAGAAAGAAAGAATATTCTACCTCCACCCATTCCGCTTCTGAGATATCTGCTGATTCGCACGGCCCATATTCATCACCACTGTTGTAACCACTTGCATTCACTAGCTCATCCACCAATCCGGATGGCCCTGCTGTTGGAGATGAACCAGCAACAGGGCTACTGCCGGGAAATGTCGGTGATGCAGCATTTCTTTCCCGCAGTTTGCTGCGAGTTGTCCTACAATTTAGAAACAGCAAAACTACAGTTTTCGCTCAGAATCTTACGAAAAGAAAAGAAAAAAGAGAGAAAGAAAAAACTTATTAACACATTCCCTAATATTTGTTATGAAAATGTGACGCCCCCAATTTTTTTTTTCACATTTCGAATATATCCATAAAAATTAAACTACTGATATGTGTTTTCATAAAAATATTTGATTCCGCTGGACAAAACGTTGTTTAAACATAACTAATGGTTATTATCCTGGGATGATTAAAAAGAAGTTGGTATTTTTTTTTTTGCAAAAATCACCAGCCTGAGATATCTCGATAATTACGGAAGGGATTAATTCTACCTGGAAGAAGAAAGAATTTCCAGAGCTGTGGAAGATGGAATCCATTACTGTACCTATTTAAAGAAACATGATAAAAAACACTAGCAATTATTGAGGAATATCACTGTTAACAATTACATACAAAATTTCATCCATCATTCTTTTGTCAACGCCAACTTCAAACGCAGATATAACTACTGGGAATCGTCAATGTGGATTTCCATGGAACTGATCAACTATTGATCAGATATTTGCATTCATCAGGTAAAGGAGAAAAATGTGACAGTCTGGTGTAACAATGAAATTAGTTAAGCTAATTAAAGCATATTTTAAACGAAGACATCTGTCCGATGAACTCCCTGTTCTGAAAGAAAGAGGTGCTTTATCACCACCACGTTTCAACTTCAATTTTGAATACACCGCCAGGAAAATCCAAGAAAACAATGACAGATCAGAGTTGAAAGGGATACAACAGCTTCTAGTCCATGCTGAAGATGTTCATTTACTAGAAAAAAGCATCAAGACCATAAAGAAAACATAGATCTTTATTATAAGCTGGTAAGGAAGTTGGTCTAGAAATAAATGCAAAGAAAACTAAAGTCTGATCTTAGACTACAGTACAAAGTCTAGCATAAATCCTATGACAGCGACGAGTCAGAATTGCGTTCACGAAGAAATAAGGGGCAGACTAAATCTGGGGCACCATGCGGTTTGTCTTCCTATTTGCTAAGACATAAAGAATTATTTATTTTAATCCGTCTTATCACAATATTTTAAAATTTCTTATAATTAAGATAATAAAATATCATTTATGTTCCATATCGATTGATCGATTTACATTTCGGCAACCACCTTTCACTTACTCCTTCCACAAGCAACCACAGTCAGTATTGACCCACACCTATTCGAAGACACTAGTACTTCTGGACA